CAAATGGATTAATGTTTGGTGCAAAAATATTATAATATATGAAGTACAATATTAAACTGAAAGAAACACACAATTAGTGTTTGTTTTATTCCTTCGTTATTGCAGTTATGTCCATTAGTTTTATAAAAGAGACTTAGAGTTAGTCCTATTTCAGAATATGTTTACACTTAAAATATATTAATATATCTTATAATTCTAACTTAACGATATGGCATCTGTTGATATGCACTAATTCTCTTGGAAGGTAAGTGATTTAAATAAAGAGTGTTCCTTCGTGAAGTCTAAGTAAGTTAGGTACCTACTATTGCTTTTTCATAGGTATCTACCTTGTATACTTATAAATAATAGCTATCTTTAACTTTGGTACTTAACGGAAACCAAATGAAACTTTTTATTTGATATTTTTTTATTCACTTTTAAAAATATTGCATTTATCTAAAATCATCGTTTTCTCTGCCACATCTAATAGCTTGTGTCCCTATTGTATTTGTTATCTCTGTGCAAAACCCTGACATAACTGGCAGATATCACTATATTAGCTGCAGATACATCGAATCTATCTCAGCTGTAATAATAATTTTAAATATTCTTACACAACATAAAATGGGCAAATGTGTAAAAATATCAATTTTAATACCTACCTACTACAGAGTACACCAAATAAAAATCATACATCAATATAACAAATGTGAATTGGCAATTAAAGTTTTCAGGAATTGTCCAACACCTTACGTTGGCAAACGGATAAAATTCAAAAACAATTTGAAATTAAAAATGTTCTAGAACACAAAAACCGTACTTTTTATATGCATTTTAAGATTACACAATATCAAAAAAATTCTTACTCGTCATATCTAAACAAATTATATAATAATATAAAATCCTCTTTATAACTGTAAAAATATCACTGTAAACGTTGAAATAAATGATGACCAAAGATACATACTGTTGAATCCATGGTTCTTTTTCCCTGCGTCAATAATACCTAGCGAGATAAAACACATACTTTTATCTAGCATCAGTGTTATATGCAACGTACATGCACCAAAACATGGCCGTCACATCTAAACTGGCTTTACTTTTTGAAGATTTATTAAATGAGTATTACTTGTCCTCTTTCTTTCCTTATTTAAGCGTGCGGTCTAGTCGATTCATCAGGATATTATATATAATTTTTTTTTATATTTAACCTAATCTTTATATATATATATATATATATATATATATATATATATATATATATATATATAATATAATATATATATATATATATATATATATATAATATATATATATATATATATATATATATATATGTATATATATATATATATATATATACATATATATATATATATATATACATATATATATATATACATATATATATATATATATGTATATATATATATATATATATATATATACATATATATACATATATATATGTATATATATATATATATATATATATATATATATATATATATATATATATTATTCTGTATTTTTTGTAGACCCTATTCCGAACTTGTACTAGTTACAGAACTCTCTAAACGGATAATGAAAGCTGTCAAGGTAAAAGAAAATCAAGACAGAAACGAACACAAGTAGTAGCAATCACTGCTATTTAGTGTAAAACGATAATGTAAGTTTGGTCTTAAATCGGCTAAACTGGAAATCGGCTCACTACATTACTTCAGAGAAGATTTTTGGGTCTCACAGGTCCGATCAAACTATACAAAATACTGGGTCCGAATGGTGTAATCTCAAGGCTCCTTAAAGAGAGAAAGGAAGACCGGATTTGTCAAAGTAGGAGGTACACAAGAATACCCTTTGAATTTGACAAATAAGCAAGAAGTCAAGACAAGTTAGTATCTCATTGCATATCTGCGTTATAGATTATGACAAGACATCTATCGCTGATATTATAATAAGGGGACGTGCCGCAGCACCTGATTTCACTTATAATCGAGTTATATAAGCATACTACGGGGTCAGAAAAGGAGGTTAAAACTCTTTCCAATGAATTTCATCCAGAAGCAAGGTACCAAGCAAGGATGTATACTATCTCCACAAATATTATTTAATATATACGGAGAACATATGAGGAGAGCGCTTAAAGGATGGGAAAAATGCATTTTAATAAATAGTCGGAAAATAATAAATCTACGCTTTGCGGCGATACAGCCCTCCTTGGAATCAGTCAAGAAGACCTAATTGATCCTATACGGCTGATTGAAAATTACAGTAAAGTATTTAGTCTGGGGTTGAATACAAATTAATGATGATAATCATCATATTTGATAGGCAACACAACAATTATCCACATATAGTCATCGTTATCATCATCATCAAGCCTTCATTTATTACGTCCACTGCGGAACATAGACCTCCCTAAAACTTTTTTATTCTTTGTTCGTGGACGAGTAAAATTACACATTGGAGGAAAAAGGCAGACATATGGTCATAACTGACCAAAATCATAAATACAGAGATACTCCAGGAGAAAATAAAACGTAGATGTGATCTAGCCAAGATTGCTATGGAGTCCATAACCAAAATATAAAGTGATCCCAGTATTTGATTGACCTTAGAAATGGGGTTGGTAATTTGCTTAATATTTCCATTACTGATATATAAATGTGAATCTTAAACATTAAGACAATCGGAAAGAGGAAAAAAAGAGATATACACAACAGAATATTCTGCTGGAGAAAAATGTTGCGAATTCCATGGACCGATCATCATCATCATTATCATCATTAGCGGTTTTGAGTTCATTGCTGAACAAAGGCCTCCTGTAAATATTTTGACTGTAACCTATCTTAAGCACCTTAAATCCAGTTCTACTGGATTCGCTTGATGTCGTCCGATCACCTTGTTTGAGGACTTCCTCGATTATGAGAAGCATCGTGTCTATGTCTCCATTCTAAAATTACCGATTAAAGGACAAATAATTATATTAAAGCTCCTTAAGAGACTTTCCAACAAAATTTAACTTCTTCTTCTTCTTCAGCCTGTTTGTATCCACTATTAGACAAATGCCTCCCCATTAGTTCTCAACTCTTCTCTATTTGTGCTATGTCATCCCACTTTTGCTTTGATGTCGTCTAGCCATCACTTTTGTGATCATCCTCTTGTTGTGTCACGTGCCCTAGCCAGCAGTTCTTCCAATTACATCTTATACCTTCTACCATCATGGTCTCCATTCCGTAAGTCATAATTGGTAGAATATAACTGTTGAATACCCTTTTCTTTAAATTTATTGGTATTGTTTATTTTTCGACACAACACTGGGTGTTCCTACAGCCCAATTTATTAGGATTATTCTAGTTATCTCTACCGTTTGATTTTGTTTGCCTAGTTTGATCTTCTTACCTACATCTACATATATACTCTTCGACATTTTTAATCTCAATTTCATCTGTCTGCTGTGATATTTTGATTTGACATCACTTTTGTTTTATTTAAATGTATTTTTAAACCGATTTTCCAAAAATCTCCAACAAGATGGATGAACCAGATTGCAGGAGAGAGCTATGCACAATGTGGTAGAAATTACTGTAGTAGACATAATTGTGTGGAGGCGGGCCATACACATTATCACGAGGATCGCTACACTTCCTCCAAGGACCAAGGTTAAAATAGAGAGAGAGAGAGAGAGAGAAAAAGAGTGATAAAATAATAATGTATTTCTATCTTGTACAAAACTACATAGAGAAATTATGTCTCTGTGAACCCTTCAAAGATGAAATTAATTGACTACAGGAATAAGCAGAATTATCACATAATGACGAATTGGCATTCTAAGCTAATTTGCAATACATATAATATTAATTATTATACCAACACAGATACACAACGATTTTGGAAATGCAAAAGATTTGATCCGAAATAAAATATGACTTGTGGATTTTACATAGCAGTGATATGACCAGCGGTAACAGACGGATCAGCACTGTAATGGAGAAAAATGGCATAACAGACGAGTATATCTAACATTATAGACAGGATCTCCTGAATACCACAGAAGCCCTGAAAAGCATGGGGATACTCTTCTAAAAGTACACTTTTTTAGGGTCAGATCTTTATTGCTGGGTCAAAAACGTATACGGAACTGGATTATTTTCACCTTGGATTATTGTTCAGATATCAAACAGTTTATGCCAATACTCGACAATTTTCCAAGCTTCAGTGTTTACACACAAGCTAGCAGACGAAAAAGTAAATATCTTTACTGATAATCCGTGCGTAATAGACGATAATAAAAAACCCACTTACCAAACTAAAACTAGTAAAAACTATAAGCATTTACTTAGTAAACTGATAGGCTTCTTTCTTTCAGACGGACGACATTTGTCGTTGTCATGCAGTGTCGTGTCGTGAAAAAAAGTTTGGTTGCTTTCACACATCATTCAATTTCTGCCGTAGCCGTGCTGTGAACTGTTGTCTTATATGATGAATGAAAGAAAAAGAAAGCGTTTAATAGTGTTTGCATTATAGCATTGTTGCCGAAAATCTCGAAAAATAAGAAAATATTGGACTCATCCGCTTCTTGAAAATAGGTATTTAGTGGGCGAATTTGTCACATTACTTCAGGATCTGCGAAAAGACATCATAAATTTTTTTAAATATTTCGAATGTCTGTTACAAGTTTCGATGAATTAAGTATGAAGATACAGGGTGATTTACAGAAACAGGACACCAATATGTGAAATTGCATAACACCAATCGAGATGGTTTCACAAGTGTGAAAACTAGAATGGAATTGCTTGTACCGCTGCAGTCGTTCACGACCACGACATACGACAGTCGTGTACGACTACGATTTTAAATCGCGTCGTGTGAAAGTTTACATTTAATCAATAAGTTAACGATATCGTTGCCGTACACGACTACGACAAAATGTCGTGCGTTTGAAAGAAGCGATAGCTAATAAAGGATTTCTAGCATGGGTGTCAAGTATGAAAGAGTTCAAGGGAACGAAATAGAATACTGGATCGTAAAAAATATATTTATGGTACATATAAAAATAATTATTATACAACAATCTGCGATTATGAAAAAAGAGTACAGCGATGAAAAGAATCTTATGCGGCAGATGGTGTGATACAAATATATAATCTTAAAGTACCTTAGACATTAAAGCACCATAATAAACACCATATTCTACAATTATTGAGTAATATTTAACAATTTTAAAATAAATATTAATACGTATACTATTCGTGAATAAAAAAATATCCTTCACTTTAGTTCCAATGTGGACTACAAAAAATTAAAATCAAATAAGGCACTGATCAATATGATCCAACTCAAAAACCGGGTCCACGAATATGACATTTTATTTCCATTAAGTAATAGAAATAATCTTAAATATAATTCGTATTTTTTATCCATTTGATGATATGTATAAGTTAATAATTTTTCACTTTTCAAAAGTCATTTGCTCCAAAACAACGAGAGTTTTTGATAAATATCGCTCTATGATATGTGGATGTTATCACAGTGTGTTTTACATCTACGTTGTGCCAATTCTGTACTATAATAAAGTGACCTTCAGTTCTGAAGCAAATGAAAATAAATGATCTACAGAGTGTCGATGGAGCCTTTATTAACATTAAGAGAATGTCTTTATACTGGTACAAACTTTTAAATTATTCATAATGTATTTTAGCGAAGTACCCAGCATAGACAATTTAAGATAATATGTTTCAAAAATATATTTATTTATTAAACTAAACAAATGCATTGCTGACTATATGATTAATTTTTTGAATAATTTTGTATAAATTGCTAAAATTTTTAATTAGTAGTTGAGCATACATGGAGCACTTTTCTTACGCCGAGCTATCAAGAATTTACTTTTAAAATAATGCAATCCTGCCAATTACCAAATTAATGTCAGTAAGTGACATTAATGCATCTATCATTTTCAATATAAAGACTGTACAAACATTTGATTGTATAAACATGAACTGATGCTTACGAGGACATTAAGAATTGGAGCACCAGAGTTGTAACTTTAATATATTGTTGGTTGTGATTCTACTTGTGTATATAGACTGTTGGGGATCCTCAATTCTGCCTTTTGATTTCAGTCATCACCATCATCATTATCTTTGGCTCTACAACCCTGGGTGGGTTTTGGTCTGTTCAAGAATTAGTCTCCATTCCTCCCTTTATTTCGCCCTGGCTTTCCAATTTCTGACCCCTAGATTCCTCAAGTCATCTTTACTTTAATTTTAAATATAGATCTTGGCCTGTCTCTCTTCCTAGTTCCTACTGGCTCTTGATATAATATCTGTCTTTTTGGGTCTTCAGTGTCCATTCTTTTAAGGTGTCCTAGCCACCTTAGACATTAATTTTAATAAACCGGACGATGTTGCATTTTTCATAGTATTGATACAACTCAAAATTGTAGCGCCTGCGCGATATCCCGCTTTCTTGTATTCCTTCGTATATGTACTTAAGTATTTTCCTTTCTTGATATCTTGGTTTTTCTGCTAATTATGTGTGATGTTAAGAACTGCTTTATTTCAAAATAAGCTCTGTTCTATAGGTATATTCTTCTTTTAATTTCTACGCTTACTAGGTTGCTATTATTTAGTTGTGTTCCAAGATATATAAACGCCGAGACCCCCTCGAATGTGTGTGCTTCTGTCACCAGATCTTGTGGTGCCGCTATTTTTGTGCTGTTCGTGCCCTTCATGTATTTTGTTTTGAATACATTGATCTGCAGTCCCATTGTCTTCGAGGCTTTTTATAATATTTCAAAAGCCTGTATCAGGTCTCTCTTTGTGTGTTACTATGCCAATGTCATCTGCGTAGGCCAATATCTGTACACTTCTATTAATGATCGTACCTCTGGTTGTTATGCCCTATGTCTCTATGGCTCTTTCTCGCGCGATGTTAAACAGTAGGCACGATAGACTATATCCGTTATTACATACTGGATAACTGGATTACTGGCGTAATCAGTATCTGTTTTAAAGACCTTGACACTCTGTTTTGTATCTTGACTTTGCACTCAACTTTCAAACGAGTTGCCTTTACCGTTGTTATTAGATGTGACGGAATATCTAGTTCTACCATGGCGTTATAAAGTGCGCTTCTGTCTACACTGTCATAAGCAAGCGCTTTTAAAATATATGAAGAGGTGGTGGGTATCAATTCCATATTCATATGTCTTTTCTAAGGTTTGTCTGAGAAGGAAAATCTGATCAATTGTTGACCTTTCTTTTCGGAATCCATATTGGTATTTGCCTATTTTTCCTCAGTATATACTAGTAAACGATAATAAAGTAAGTATATAAGCCAGTATATATATATATATATATATATATTTATATATAAGATAATTGTCACATATTAGCGGATCCGCTTTCTTGTGAACTACATTCCAACTTTCCAACTCCAAAACTCCTGGGAGTTTTCCTTCTCTCCAAATGGATGAAGTTTTATTATGTATTTTTTAGCGCGTTTGCTCTATACTTGAACAGCTCAGGGGGTATACCATCTTCTTCAGGGGACTTGTTGTTTTTTAACCTTTTTATTGCCTTGGACACTTCTTCTTCTGTTGGTCTATTATTTTTTTCCCTCTCATCGTGTACGTCTCCATTGTGATCATTTATGTCATTGATAATTTGGGCTTCCTTACTTATTTTATGGTTAATCTAGGTTTAAATTCTTTTTTGTTGTGGTTCACATTTTTATAAAATTTTCGCGTTTCTCTTTGTAAATTGAGCCCTTTTTTTGAGCCCATAGCATTTTTTTTCTTATACTAGAGCCACAAATATTACGTAGATATTGGTGCAGACCAGATTTCATCTTATTAATAAATGGTTATAGACAAAACTAGATTTTACATTTTAACAATATTTATTGGGACTCTCATTTGAGGTTATGCTTGAAGTTTTGTTCAATATTCGTCAATATTTATCTTGCTTGTTTTTTGATAGTTAGGGATTAAAAAGTTGATAATGAGAAACACTGAAAAATAATTAATCCAAAACATATTAGTAGAGGTAAGCTCTTGAAAAATATGTTTTTAACAGTTAGAATTCATTATGAAAAATGTGGAGGATGCGTGAAGTAAAGTTTTATGGAGAAACGTAAAATCTATGAAATAAAAGGAAGTAAGTAGTGTAAATAGTTCTAAACTAATACGATTTATACCAAATATGTTGATCTGTTAAAAGAACAACAAATACACCATGCAGGAATGGGCATTCTTAGGCGGATAAGAGAGTCGCAAGCAGAATCTTAGCGTTATCTTTTAAAAACGTAGGCAAAACTTAAGCTAATATTCAAACTATCAAATGTAAAGAAGATAAAGCACGATTTCTTAATAACAAAACGTGTATATTTTATTGTAAAATCTTATATAAAAATACTTTTCTATTTCTGTTAACAAGGTATGCTGTGTAAAATTAATTTTTTGATAAAACCATAAGTGTTCACTTTACTATTAAAAAATTATTGCGGCTTTCCTACGACACTCTGTAAATCTCCAATTTATAATAATTGAGCACAGGGAATTAAACAATAGTAAAGTTGCCAATTTTCAAAAATGTTCAATGATCAAATCTTTATAACCAAAGCAAGTGTTTATTTTTTCAGTATTTTTCATTGAATTATTTTAATGCAAAATATCATAGGCTTGCCTGCTATTATAATCTCAAGATAATTGAAATACAAATTTACAATTATTGTACAGCAATTGTACAGTATATGGCATAGCTTGATGTGCTGCACAATTATTTGTAGTTATTGGTTAATAGTGTTGTGTAACTATTGTATTATATATGAATTTTGGCGACACGTTTTGCCAGGACTACAGTAAACAATAAAAAAGTATTAAATAAAGGTGAAAACTGCCTCGATTAGGCTTCCGCTTTTGTATTCCATTTTTGTTATACATTCTTATGATTCTGTTTTGCATTTCTATAATCAATGATAAACACTCAAATAATAGCAAAAAAGACACCCGGCTAATATATGCCTTAAATCAAAAACATAAAGAAGGTAAATGATTAAAACTTAATATTAAAAATCTTACGTCCATAAACTTTTCATTTACAAATCCCTTTTGTCACGCGGTTAAAAATATTTTTTACAAATTTGTTGACAAAAAAACTAATGAAATAAAGTATGTTTTAAATATTTACCTTCGAAATTGATTTAATGAATTTAACTAATCTAAAGGTAGACGAAACATTATTCTTCAGGCCATCCAAGGTCTTCACCAATCAGTTCGTAGAATTTCTGATTGTGTTCCCCAAAGTACTTTCTGAGTCGTGATATTACCTCGGGGTCGACTCTTGGGTGTTTCCTTCCCTTAGTTTCCCTTAGACATCTGGAACATTTAAAAATTATTAGATTGATTATTTAAGACAAAGAAAATGTCGTTTACTAAACTTCAATCCAATAATTAGAACTAAAAATATTATAAAATTAGTGCAATATGGTTACAAAATAAGTGTTTACTAGTAAGTTATAATTAATTTTCGCTGTGGCAAAATTAAACTAATCTATCTCCCCTAGCGTTTCTATTATGTTACCAATCCTATAGTTTGAAATATGTCCTCTAACTTGTAACGTTTCAATCAACCAATTGAACGTGACACCAAGCTCCGCTTGGTACTTGCCCCCCGTACTATATTATTCCAAAGCGACCTCACTAAATTATGTATATTTTTAGTAGCCGTTCCATCCTATATAACTGATACAAATTTTTATTCGCGCTCTTTTCAATCATATCACTACAATCATTCTGCAATAAAACTTTAGTTACACAAATTGGTTATTGTCTTAGCCGTATACGCGGCCACTATCGTGGGGAGCAAGCAATAGCCAGCCATACTAGCTTGGGAAGCAAACAATCAACAATCACCCATACTACCTTAAATCCACTGGTGCATCAGAATATCGTTTAAAACCCATTTACCAACCTGGGGACAAAAATTATTGCTATAATCAAGACCAACAACCCCTTTTAACACTACCAACAACCACCGACAACGGCTAACCTCCACAAAGATCGGAACCCTTCCTGGAGAACTGAACGACTCCTTCAGAACGAACTAAAGCTGAGTACTTTTTTATACTTTAATTGACATACCGGCAACCGGCAGAATCTTTAAGTCTCAGTTTAAAAATTTATTTATGGTTTCACATTCACAATCATATGAATCCTGTTTTGTATTATTTAATATATATATATATATATATATATATATATATATATATATATATATATATATATATATATATACCTAGCTATCTTGTTAATTAATTTATTATTATAAAATATATTTGATCTTTATATGTATTTCCTATATACTAATACAATAAATTATGTGCTATTCTTCTCAAGAATTGAGGGCAATAATCCCTTGCTAATTGCATTTTAATGTTATCTTTTATAAAGCGATTAAACTGCTTACGAGCTTTCTAAATATTCTATTATTTGTTTCCTGTATTTTTTGATAACAATATCTTAAGATAAATTATACTTTACCTGATTACCCAAAGTTGGGAAATCCCACACTTAAATACTTTATAAGTACACCCCAATAACAGGAATTACAATATGTGCCATTAGTCCTACTACTAACCAAAACAATTAAATTTCATATAAATATTTGAACGAAAATTTTCTATTAAATTCTGAGCTAGGGTCACGACGCAAAATGGCTTTGTAGTGTGTACTTAGTGAAAAGGGTAAGAGTAAATTATTGATCGACGGTTATCTTTACCAGAAAGATAAAGAAAAGCAAAACATTCATTGGAAGTGTGATTACTATAAGACATTAAAGTGTAAAGTTCGTGGTATATTCTTAGAAGATACAGTAGTAAAAATAAGTAAGACACACAACCATATAGCAGATGCAACGCAAGTGGAAAAAAACAAAATTTTTCAATTGAATACGTGAAAATTCTACACAAACCCAAGATGGGCCACATCATAATATAACTGCATCTGTTCAGCTTATAGTCGGTTCGCTATATTTACGCGGGTTTCGGATTAACAAAATTATGCTAATGATTCATTGATAACCAGTTACAGTAAACGACTTCCCAGAAAATTAGGTAAAAACTGTATTAATGGTCATATTTTAAAATACATTAAAATAACATTAGGGTAGGTATAAATTTGTTACAATATTGCAGTTGAATTGATTCTTTGCCAGTGTTGACATTGTATGTTTGGTGGAAATATTTAAAAATGCCTAGACGTGTGTTAGATGTAGATAGTCCAATTTGTAGTGTACATAAGTATTTTACGAATAAAAAAGAAAATGGCGGTCCTTTAAAATCGGTAATGTCTGTTCAACAACGCGTATGTGATGCTCTAGGAATTAGTGAAACCAAACTAAGAGGAGTATTACAAAATCGCAATAATGAACGGCCGAAAGATCACCGAAAAACTCGCCTATCATTGAAAACGAAAGATATTCCAGATGGAAAAAATTTTAAATTCGTCATACCATTTATCGAATGCGAGCCAAAAAGGAACATGTGACCTTAAATACAATTTTCTCGGAATTAAAAGATAGAAAATTTGACGAAATTGGCAGAACAAGTCTATGGCAAGTGATACATAATTTGGGTTTAAAATTTCAAAAGGAGGATAACAGAAAAGCCTTTGTGGAAGAAGTTCTGTTGTTAATAAAAGAATTAACTTTCTAAGAAAATATTCTAAATTAAAAGAAGAAACGGCAAATTTTATATATTTAGACGAAACATGGATATTTTCTAGGGGTGCAACCAAGAGAATATGGTAAGATGATAACGTAAAGACTATCAAACATACTGATGGAGAAGGGAAGCGACACATAATTTTACATGCAGGAGGGAAATCGGGTTTTATAGAAGGTGCTGATTTAATATTTTCATCTAAATCAAAATCAAGTGGCTATCACGATAATATGAACACAGAAATGGTTATAAAATGGTTACATGAAAAACTTCTCCCAGGTTTAAGTGAGCCCAGCGTAATTATTTTAGACAATGCACCTTACCATTCTGAACTATTAAACAAAAGTCCAACAAATTCTTGGACTGTTAATAAAATTAAAGAATGGTTAACAAAGGAACATATACCATTTACACAACATATTTTAAAATCAGAATTATTACGCTTGGCAAATATCCACTCAAAACCAAAAACCTTTGTTGTGGATCAGATTATTGAAAGTTACGGTCATCAAGTTTTACTTCTGCCACCGTATCATTCCCAATTTAATCCCATCGAATATATATGGGGAATAGCAAAACAATATTATGACAACCATATTGGGCCTAACGGCTATAGCGACGACGCAGTTCGGGAAACTTGGCGAAAGGCACTTTCAATTGTAACTCCAGAAGTGCGGTGCAACTGTATATTCAAGTGCGAGAAACTAATAGAAGATTGGTGGACTCGTGAAAATAAAATAAACGAAATAAGTTCAATCATAATAACAATTAATGGTGATGACAGTGATGATGATGACGATTATGATATTGTTGATGATAATGACTGATTTTCATTTTTGTTGGCAAGTTAAATTTTTTTATTTTTCATTAGAAATTCTCTCCATGGAACAAATATACATAAACTATATTTTCTGTGTGAAGTGTAATATAAAATTATTATTAGGTTTATATTAGCCACATTAGACCATTAGACTCCATTAATGAAGTAATTCTCCTTATTATACTGTAAATTATATAAAAGATTTTCCATTATTATTTAATTAAAAAAAGTTATGGATTATTTTTCATTTCATTTGACCAGTTGATATTTCCCCAAAGAGCAGGTAATGAAAACTGGGTACATACAATAAAATTTTTAATCCGAAACCCGCGTAAATATAGCGGACCGACATAGTCAAGCTACAGCTACCACGCTTCCAAAAGTGAGCAGCATTAAAAAAACAATAAGGCGTGTTACGAAGTAATCAGCAAGCCAGTCCGGATTTACTTCTTTACAGAAGGGACATTGTTTTCCAGAAGAGTATAAACTAACACAAAATAGAGAACAATTTTTACTATTTCATTCAGGCCCACACGATGATCGGTTGTTAGTTTTTTCAACAAGACAAAATCTGCTTCTTCTGCTAAGGTCACAACACTGGCTTGCCGACGGAACTTTCAAAACTGTACCTCACCTTTTTTATCAACTATATACAATCCACGGATTAGAGAAGAATACTGCAATTCCTTTAGTATACGCACTACTACCTAACCAGAAAGAAAAAACTTATTAGAAAAAAGAAACATATTAACAGATTTTGAAAGCGATGTGATAAGTGCTATAAGATAAGAATATCGCGACTCAAGACATCGTGGGTGCTTTTTCCCTTTCACTCAATGTCTCTTTAGAAGAATTCAGTGAGATGGTTTAAACAGAATATATGAAACTAATTTAGATTTTGTCTTAAAGCTCCGCTTATCGGCGGCCTTGGCATTCGTTCCTACTGCAGACGTAGTGGAGGCATTTGAAACGAGTTGCGAGCAAGAGGTGTTGCCAGCACAAGCCCAGTCAGTAATTGCATAGATGAAAGATAATGGATCAGGCGTCTACAAAAGGTAGACAACGTAGTTTGCTCTGATTTTTTCATGATCTGTGGAATTGATATAATGAGATCCAAGAAAGTTTACCAAAAACATAAAATTCCATAGAGTGATGGCATTGAGGGTTCGAAGAATAGATTTCCTCAGATCATCCAAACATTTGGAGATTTATTAAAGGCATTCATCTGGAGCAGAGCTTACATGAACTTCAAATTGAACAGTATATAAGAGGCTTGGAAGGCCCTCTTACACGTTAAAAATATAGAGGTTGTGCAGAGAGGATTGCAAGTCTGGTAAACAATTACGACACTGCGAACACTTACGAATTCTGGCGGCGAATAGCACATAATTTATCGTAGTAGTATATAGGAAATACATATAAAGATCATATGTATAAATAAATTTAAAAAATTAATAAAAATTAAAATAAACTAAAACAAAAAATAAAAAAAATGACAAAAAGTTCTAAACATGCCAGCATTACACTGCCAGTTCTAAACCAAGTCAAGTGTGAAGGGAACATGGAAATACAAAATACAAAGTCATAATAATAAATTAAAAACAAGATATTTAGATCGAACACAATATAAGCAGTAATAACTATTTAAATAGCACGTAAGTTACCGTATTAGTATATAGGAAATACACATAAACCAATAACTATTTAAATATATTTTTCAGTTAATTCTCTTTTCGGGCAATTATTTATCTGCCAATTGTCTATTCGGGCAATTGTTCATTCGGAAAATTGTCCATTCGTAGAATTTTCCATTTAGGGAATTGTCTTTCGGGAAACTGTTTTCTGGCAATTGTCTAGGATCCTATAATTTTAACTCCGTGGTGATGAGCTGTACTATCGTTACCAGCATAGTAAAACATTACGCAGTTTCGAGTCCGAAATTTTCCAGACCCTGGCTCTTGTGTGTCGTTGATTTCCAATATATCTATCTAAAGTCCATTTTTTGTATGTATGGTAATATCTAAATTTCCAGTGGAATACTGTCGCCAATAGCTCAATTCCGGCTTTATGATTGGTCAAATTGCAACCATAATTTCAGTCAATGGTATTGCTAAAAATTGAAGCTTAATTCCTGCTTTACGATTGGTCGAATTGCAGCCTAATTGCAGCCAATGGTATTGTCCGAAATTGAGCATTGGCTGTCGTGCAAGCTCCAATGGCAGAGCGCCATGGAGCACTTGACCTACTTAATTTCATATAAGTATAGGTGCACGACGGCTAAAAATTCATTCTGATCTGGACAGGGCTCCGCAAAATCGGCCTTCTTGGCATTAGAGACCTTCTTGTTGATTTGGTTTCTAGAAACTCTGCTTTTTATTGCACCTTACCGCTATCCTTTTATTTCAGGATTTTTCTGATTTTTCATTCATTCAAGTTCTCTAGCGAGAATAATTTATATTTAAATTGTATTTATTTTAGCATTTTCGACTTGGGATATTTCTCGTGAAGAATTTATTTTCGAATTAAAGGTATTTTTGACTTGGTACGATTTCATATTTTTCTTCTATTTTTCAGTTAGGATTTTACTCTGGTATTTATCGACTTTAAAATTTTTGTAAGATATTTATTTCCGATTTAATAACTTAGAAAAATTTGCATTCTCTGGTTATTTCTTTCAGGATTTTTTTAAGTTCTTAAACGAACTTATAGTTTCAAGTTATCAAATAAGAATGGTATTCTTATTTGATTTATTTGGTATTTTTAGCGAATTTTATGTTAGCATAATTTCCTAAATTTTTGTTATTTTATTTTCTCTTTCAGATTCTCTAAGTTCCTGAACCGAACTTAGAAGACTTTTTATATTTTTATAATATTGCTTTCAGTGACTTTGGATAATTTCTGACAAATTATTTCCTTTTGTTTAGGGACTCGAAGTATTTTCAGATAGAAAATAACTATACTTTTGGTATAAAAATAACTTCATATTTTTCTACATTTTGTTCATTCATCCCGAAGTCACCACGACGAACACTTCTATCAAATTATCGCTTTTTTTTTTAATTTTACTTTTTTTGCTTAATTAGTCTTAGGTGTGATAACTAATAAATTTCTCTTACAGATTCTTAGTTCTAAGACTAGTCAACACTTTTATTGCAGATTTTTAGTTTTATTTAACATTTATTTTTATTTGTTTTAAAAAGATATTTCCCTGTAGCTTGTGGGTCTATACGGCCTATATGTCCACGGACCGTGACACTTACCTGCTCGGGTCTATTTCAGCTATCGATAGTGCGACTGGACCACCTTCTCTCATTCCAGAGGGTTCAGGCCAGCAACATGGCGCCCATCCTCTGGAGACAACAACTTAACACAGACCTGAGATGTCCCATCCTACTGAATTCCCAGACTTGACGAAGATACTTGCATTCCTCATGCAAGCAGTGACGGCGCTAACCCAAGCGCAAACCAAGGCGAAGCACCCACCAGCACCACCGACGCCCTCTTCGAGAAGAGAACCACTGGACAGCATATATATTGGACCAGGGACTAGCGGGAGAAGCCGCCACGTGGGTCACGTCACTCCGAAGTTGGACCACACCACATTCTTCCAGAGGCTGATTGATCATCTCAGCCATTCTGCAAGAATTACCAAGTTTTTGGCCAAGTTCTACGGCCACAAGCAGCAGAAGATGAAGTTCGCAACCAACTTCATCTCCCTGAAGATGGCCCTCTTCAACAGGGTATCGCCAAACACCCTGGATAAAGACAGATGCAGCTGCCAGGTGAAGACCGGCCTCCAGATATTGCGATCAACGTAGATCATCAAGACGCCAAATTTGCTCGAAAGAGTGCACCTACCACTGGAGAACTTAAGAAAACCTTATCGTCATAAGCCAGAGTCCCGCAATTAAGTCTCTACAGAAGACGGCGATTAAAATTGTGTACCCAAAAGACAACTGATTTCCAAAAATCACTTTAGTTTTGACTTCTGCTAGTCCATCTTGACTGGTTTGTAAGGAACAACCTTTCCATACAGTCAAGGCGGATGTTTTCCATTCGCAATGAATGCATTTTGTTTTCTATGTTACTGTAACAACTTACGATATTTTTCTACATTTTTAGGTCTCATCGACCTTGGGAAATTTTCGATGGTCGAAAATTTAAAATAACTTGCTTTGTGTCGATTTCGTTACATGTGTTTGTTGATTCGTTCCGAAGTCCCCACGACGAACACTTCTATCACATTTTGGACTAAATCGACTTAGTAGAAATTTCATTTTTTTTCGAAATTTTTGTAATTTTTTCACTTTTTTTAATTTTTACTTTTTTTGCTTTTTTTGCTAGTCTTAGGTGTGATAACTAATAAATTTCTCTTAAAAATTCTTATCTAACACTAATTAAAACTTTTATTTCAGATTCTTAGTTTTAGTTAACATTTATTTGCTTTTGTTTTAAAAAGGTATTTCCCTCTAGCTTGTGGGCGTATATGGCCTATATGTCCACGAACCGTGACGCTTACCTGCTCCGGTTCATTTCAGCTATGGATAGTGTGACTGAACTACCTTCCCTCATTCCCGAGGGTTCAGGCCAGCGACAATACAAGCTTTTCATATTTTTCATTTGTTCATTCTTAGGGAGAGCGCCCACGAAAGTGGCGTGGCAAGTAGCACGTAGCAAGTAGCACGCGTCTAGCATGTTTCTTAAAATGTAACCAATGAAAACGAATGTTAGAAAGAATGACGTCACTGTCATTTTGGTGTGCGCTGAATCATTCGTTTTCATTGGTTACATTTTAAGTCACATGCTAGACGCGTGCTACTTGCTACGTGTCACGTGTCACGCCAGTTTGGTGGGCGCTCTCACTTACAGACAGAGGAAGCTTTGTAGTCGTTTGCTATCCTTCCACTGCCGGATCTTGGACCCTGAAATCCATAATCAGTAGTACTATTTCTTATATTATGTACCATGATGATATAACTCGAGGTACTAAAAGTTTCTTGAATTCTGTGCTTCTCCATTGCCTTGTGCATTCTTGTGCAACAAGAGTCAACAAGAGTTAATAAAAAGTAATGAATATAGAAAAATATCTTAATATGTATTAGATAGTTTAGATATGGGACTTCCCTCTTATAAAAATGGGAAAAAATTTCCATATAGAACTTATATGGAAAACATACACATTATAACCCCTGTGTCAGTACCCTCTTATTACGGGGCACGTTAAGGAAAGTTTAGCAAATTGTATTAGGTTTTGTATCAGATTTTATTGAACTTATATGAACTTACCTGTCAGAAGTTTCATTTCTTAGACAATAAAATCCCTTTGTCTCATTAAAATAAAAATTATGTGTGCCTATCCTCGGTTCAAGTCCCAAAAATCTTTCTATCTTCTGAATCTGGCTCACGGGATCTTCAATCAACAAATCTCCATTGACGATGAGCAGTTGGTCTCTGGAAAACGCCTCCAGCCATCTGTGAATGTAGTTGTGGTAGATGGAAATCGTCAATGGTCTGTATGATTCATTGATGGATCCGTTCGCAAAAAGTGCCATTTGCTCGAACGACTTCGCTGGTTGGTTCGGTAAAGATGGAGATGCGGTGGCCGCATTTGCCCGGAGTTGAGTATAGTCGGAGATAGCTCTGGTGACCGGTTCTCGAACAATCAGAAGAAGTTTTATACTAGAGTTCATGGCTCGGATGCGTTCGGGGACCTAAGCAAAAATAGGTAAATTAAAAAACAAAAATAAAACAATTATATTATATTACAATTTTTTAGTAAAGTGATTTTACAATTTCATGAGGATTAAATTCCGATTTTTACGAATTTTATTGTTATGATAAATGTGACTCATATCCTCAGCTGTAAACATATTTTTCTATCAAGTATTTTTTAGCAGGTAATACCCACTGGTCTTATACCTGCGATTGGAACTTTCCAGATGAGGGTCAAATGATTCTGGCGTTCCGACCGAAGGTCAAAGAAGCCGGCAGAAGCTTAACTCAGGTATTCAGGTATATAAACGGATGATTTGAGATTTAAAGGACAGTCTGAAATAAGAGTCCGTTAATAGATTGTTGGCGCGAGAATTTAAATTGTAACCAAATATTTGATTACAATCAATTATTGATTAGCGTTCGAACAATTGGTCCTTAATATTTCCTTGTATGTAGTTTGGAATTTAGTGTCTACTGGAGAGAAACATTTAATGACAGAACATCCATAAAGTTATATTATCTTGTAACATCCAGGACATATAGAAAAAATAAATCTGATATTACATAAATAAATATTAAAATATTTTTATAATTTTATTTATTTACTGAATATTTTGGATTTTATATCTAAACAACTACCGAATACATAGGTACTTGTAGTTTATATAGATAACAGTAAACAAATAGTGTGCCACTTCAAAGTTTTATTCATGATAGGATATAAAAAGATTATATTTTCACAGTAATTTAACATGAATTTGAAAGGCTTATATAAATATATTATGAATAGATTTCCGATTTAAAAGCTTAAAGAAACGCAAAAAGCGCTTAAAAAGCATAAAGATTTTATGAAAAAAAAGCATATTATTATACAAAAATGCATGAAAATAAGCATAAAACATATTATATAAAAATTTCTAAGGTTAGCTTTAGAACTAGAAAGTTATCGTTATCATCATCATCATCCAGCCTCAAAGTCCACTGCTGAACATAGGCCTCTTCCTCATGTTTCCAACCCCGTCTATGGTGCGCCATTCTCATTCAGTTTCTATTAATCCTTCTTATATCGCCAGCCCATGGTATAATTGGTCGACCGACGATCTCTTATCTTCCCTTGGTCTCTATTCCAATATTCTCTTTGTCCATCGCCCATCCGTCATTCTAGCTATATGACCTACCCATCCCTATTTTAGTCTTGCTTTATTTTGGTAGCCGAGGCTTTTAAAAGTTTCTCTCAGTTTTCCATATGCTGCCCACTCAAGATCGATTCTTCTCTTCAGTTCATGGGTCTGATTGTCTAGTCAGAACTAGTAAGTACCTATTATAAATTTAAAAATAAAATAGAATAAGCAAAAAAATAGATAAGTGAAATGCTTTAACCTAATTTAACACAACTTAGATAAAGTCAAATATGTAGGTTTTCTTTAACGTATTAAATAAGTTATTACTCATTTAAACGTTCTATTGTAAAATTTTCATCATCATTACGTAGCGCTACGACCCTGGTGGGTCTTGGCTGACTGTACAACTATTTTTCAATTTGCTCGGTCTTCCATCAACCTAGGGTCAAATGGAAAGTTCATTTTCCGGAGATCTGCTTGGATGTTATCTCTCCATCGCATTCTGGGACGTCCAAGTGGTCTTTTGCCCGTGGGAATCACCTCCCATACTAGTTTTACAAGTCTTTCGTTATGCAGTCTGTGCACGTGGCCTGCCCATCTTAGTCGCTGTGATTTAATTTCTTGGACAATATCGGCATCGTTGTAGAGTGCTTTTATTTCGATATTGGTTCTGCTCTTATACTGGTGAGGTCCGAAAATTTTTCGTATTTTTCGTTCAAAGCGTCTGAGCTTTTCTTCGTTTGCTTTGGTCATGGTCCACGTTTCGCATCCGTATGTTAATACAGGTCTGACGATGGATTTATAGATTTTGATCTTTAAACTTCTTGTGAGATTTTTTTGATTTTATGAGCTTATCCAGTGCAAATCGACAGCAGTTTGCAGATTGAATTCTGTCTTTGATCTCTTCAGTAACATCGTAGTCAGCTGTGATTACGGCCCCTAGATACTTAAAACGTTGTACTTTTTCGAAATTAAAGGTGTTCTGTCTCTTCGTGTCGTTCTATTTATACACATATATTTCGTCTTCTCTTCATTAATCTTCAGCCCTACCTCACTTGTTGCTCCTTCCACCTTGTTAAAAATGTCTTTCGTGGATAGGATGAAGTCTTCAACGAGATCTATGTCATCTGCATATGCTGGTAACAGCTGGGGACCTTGAACCGATAGCAATTCTGTTTTTATTTCGGCCGACCTCATGGCTTTTTCTAATACAAGGTTAAAAAGTAGTCATCACCCTGTTTAAGTCCACTGTTAATTTCAAAGCTGTCAGACAGTTTATTATTTACACGTACTTTAGATATTTCACCCTCCATACGTCTCTATGGTCAGACTTTGGTCATCTGAATAAGTTTCTTTGGTATTGAGAACTCCGCCATGGCATTCCATACTTGGCGTCTCTCTACGCCTTGCGTCTATGCCTGTCGAAAGTCTATAAAAAGATTGTGTATGGGTTCGTTATACTCCCATCTCTTTTCTAGAAGTTGTCTCAGAGTGAATAGTTGATCTATTGTTGATGTGTTTGCCCTATACTCGGCTTGATATTCGCCTAGGACATTTTCAGCGTAAGGGATTAGTCTACTAAGAATGATGTTCGAGAGAGTTTTATATGTCATGTTTAGGAGTGAGTCCTCTATAATTCGCTCATTTTGTTTTGTCCCCTTTTTTGTGGATGGGCACTATTATGTTTTCCTTCCATCGTACTGGTATCCTTTCTTCTAACCATATGTGCGTTATTAGCTGGTGGATTTGGCGATGTAGTGCGTCTCCCCCATATTTCAGAAGTTCTGCTGGTATCTCGTCCGTACCCAGCGCTTTGTGATTTTTCAGCTTATTTAAGGACTTTTGGGTTTCTTCAAAGAAGGGATTTTTGACGGGCTTGTCCGCTGTGATATAGATCTCTTGTTTGTACTGTTCTTCCTGTATTATGTTTAGAAGGTCCCTAAAATACTTTTTCCATTCTTCAGTTACTTCTTTACCGGCAATTATTATTCGGTCTCTCAGTGTATGGATGGAATTGGTTCTATGTTCTCTTTTCTCAGAGGAAATTGCTTTATAGAATTCCCTGGAGCCTGGTTTGGGCAGGTCTCTCTCCATAGCTTCATATTTTTGTTGTTCATAGTTTCTTTTCTTTATGCGTATTATTTTTTTTGTTTCTTTTCGGCAGTCGTCATATTCCTTTTTACTTTGATCTGTTTGCAGTTGTATCGAGGCTTCCTTACCGTTTGTCTTTTTTCCAGCTGCTTTCGACATTCATCGTCATACCATGTTTTTGCCCTCTTCTGCCTACTCCTTCCAAAGTTCTTGTCCGCTGTCGTGGTTATTATTTCGGCAGTCGCTTCCCATAGCTGTTCTATATCATTGTATTCTCTTTCAGAGTTCAAGGTTTGTTCGAATTGTTCTCTTTAGTTTTGTTGTTTCTCTGTATTGTGTATTTCGTCCATGTTCCATTGTGGGTTTATTGTTGTTTTACTGTATTTGTGGCTAGATGTTCTGGATTTGACTTTTGCTCTGACTAAGTAATGATCTGTGTCTCCTTTTTTTTCTCTCAGGCTTCTTACGTCTATAATATTGTTCCCATGACGGGCATCTACAATGATGTGGTCAATTTGGTTGCGCGTAATATGGTCGTTTGAGATCCAGGTTTGCTTTAGGATGTCTTTATGCGGAAACATGGTTGACTTTATTAGCATATTATTAGCTGCTGCACTTTCTATGAGTATTAAGCCATTGTCGTTGGATATATTGTGTAGGCTGTGTTTACCTATTGTGGGGTATAGGCTAGGCTCTTTCCCTATTGTAGCATTAGAGTTCCCACAGAGTATGCGCATATATTGTTTGCGCATTGTAAAATCTTGGCACTCGAAAATATTATTTTAACGTCCATACTGGTTATCGGTTCATGCTTATAGTTTGCTACTACAGTCGGATCCATATTTACATCTCCAACGTGTTCTCTAATTTAAATTAAAAATATTTTAAAATGAAAAAGACAGCAAATATTTGATTTCACGCAAACAATCCCTATGTATCTGTTGATACGTAGTTCAACCTAATAGGTCTCATCAGAACAGCTATTCATAGGAGTTCTCAACGTGAAAATCAATATTTTCTGTCTTTTAAGAAGCAAAAATGAAATGGCTTCAATACGGACGCGATAGCGACATCTAATTACAAAATCCGTAAAATAGTTTCGAAACACAATTCAGATTTCTGCTTATAATCTGAGCTTTCTAAAAATTGCAAGGCCAACAGACGTTGATAAAAGATGTTAAAAGGGACATGGGGAATCTAAATTCTTAAAAGACAGAAAATATTGATTTTTCACGTTGAGAACTCCTATGAATAGCTGTTCTGATGAGACCTATTAGGTCGAAATACGTATCAACAGATACATAGGAATTGTTTGCGTGAAATCAAATATTTGCTGTCTTTTTCATTTTATTTCGGATTTACTCTGTGTGAGTACTAGAAGCACAATTCGCTAAGGATTTCTGCTTAGTTGTAAAAGACATGTCGTGGAATGCAAATTTTAGATTCCCATATCTCTTTTAACATCTTTTATCAACGTTTGTTTGCCTTGCAATTTTTGTAAGGCTCAGATTATCAGCAAAAATCTGAATTGTGTTTTGAAACTATTTTAATGATTTAGAAATATTTTCTATATATTTTGCCATCCTAGATTTTTTGTCAATACATCTTTGAGTTTTGATAATAGTAATTTTTCCAGCGATACCTTTCATCCATTTTAAACCTGTTGATTTTTTGGATCAACTCAACTAATGAAATTTGACGATTCTCCAACTATTTTATTGTTTTACTCACAAATCAAAAGTTGCTTCTCATAAAAACAAGATTGTTTTGTAATTATGTTTCAT